CTTGGAACAGGCGCCCTGTGGTTCTATTCTTGTAAGCGACCACCTCCCGTAAGCGACCACCCAAAATACAAAGACTTAGGGGTTCGACTCTATTTTCGGCTCTCACTTAGCTTCCTTAATCAGGGCGAATACAGTCCTACTACCTACGGCTAATTAGCGTCCATAGGCTATGAGTCTCAGTGTGGGTTGTAATAAGCATTTAATTGATGGGGCTGTTTTGGCTTAAATTGTGCTCAAATGGTTGCAAGAGGAACTGAATCCGACTTTGGCCTGCAGGTCTAAATTGGCACTTTCGCAGTGAATTCTCGGCTGAACCAACGTGAGAAGTTTACTGTTCTTGATCTTATGGAAGAGAGAGATCCACCTTCAGTTTAGGAGGGACAAAATTAGGTTTAATGATAAGCATTGGATTAAATACATTTTCAACGTTCTCTGGTACACTCAATTATTCAAATTATATTATCTATTGTTAAGGACTTTATAAGAACAGTCTTTGCCCGTTACCATCATTCAAAATTAAGTCATAAGTTATTGATCATGATAAAGTCCTCAATACCTCCACGGTGTTCAATCAGGCCTTCCATCTGCTGAGAAGCACTGTTGGTTACGTCTGTCTGGGCATTTGCACTATCACGACCTGTTTAAATACAATGAACGTGAATAGACGTTTGCTTCAATTTGACTACAAGAAATTTATTCCCGTTTGTAAAGGTATGAAATATGAAGGGTACGTCAGATGGTTATGACAACCTCAACAATTAAGTCCATTTACTATGTCACAATTTGAAAGGTTGCTTGTCTGTTCCACTAATTATTTTTAAAAAAGGTCCTGACGACTTTCTCTTTTCTGACGACTTTCTCTTTCTCTTTCTCGCAGCTGCTACGACAAGAGAGTGATATCAAAGCTCGCAGATGACACTTGATCAGTGGGTGCGGCAATATGCAATTTACCCCAATGTACTGACGTTTTAATACTGGGGATTCCTTTCGCAGTAACTTCAGTCTAGGGCGCGCCGGGTCACGCTTTAAGAATTCTTGAAGGTTCTGTGGTTTAATTATGCTATCAAATGTATCTCTTTACGCTCGTGAGCCCATGCTGATCAGTAGACGACATGGACGAGAATAATTGATTTTCCCTGGAGTGGATTTTAAAACTGAAAAAGTGCCTACATTTGCTCGGCCCTACGAGCATCAGTGCTATAAATACTGCCAAGGGTAAAAAGGACATTATTATTACGATTTTATGGTTGACCATAAAACTAAGATTTTATAGGTGCTGGAATGGCTGCACAATTACAAGGGTTTTAAAAATATGAAAAAAGTTCCTCGATCCAGCGCCTTTTTCCATTGATACATAAAGTTTTTCCCCATTTAAAACCTAAAAATGGGCAGAACCGCTACTGTTTGTTTCAATCTCTGGTAATTGAGGATGGTATCCCATAAAGACATCCGAGCTGCAAAAGGTCTACTGTAAATCATACCTTCCTCCTTAGAAGCTTCGTCAGTTTCCAGTTCATTCAGTTTCTCTTTGATGTCATCTTCTACCCTCTTCCACTGCTTGAGAAGTTCTCTAAAATGTTCCTTATCGAGGAATTCAATGTCCTGGTCTTTCATTTCATCAATAAGATTTTCATAATCAGCTCCACCCAGTCGTAGCAGTGTGTCACGGATATGCTGCCAGTAGCTTCTGAATACAGCATCACTACAAGAGCCTTCCGGGGCATGTTTGGACACGGCGTTCATGAAGTACTTAATGCGCGCTATGTCAGACTCGAGACTGGTGTCTGCTGTAAGAGGAGGTGTATCCCAGCCAGCGGGTGGAGGGCTCAGATTACAGATTGTCCTTAGAAGCACAATCAAGAGGGGGATATCAAAGCTTGCAGATGACACTTCAGTGGGTGTGGCTGGGTACAATTTACTCCAATGTACTGAAGTTAGGACTCCTTTCTTTCGCAGTAACTGTAGTCTGGAGTGCGCCGGGTCACGTTTCAACAATTCTCGAAGATTCTCTGGTGGAATAATGCTATCGAATGTATCTCTTAGCACACGTGAGCCAGTGCTGATCAGCAGACGACATAGACGAGAATAATTGAGTTCCCCTTGAGAAGATTTTAAAACCGAAGAGGAGCCTACAACCAACAGCAATTGTCACCATTACATACAGTCCAAATTCTTCAGACAGTATACTTAAAATATAACACCACTATTCGAAGTCACTGTACAATAGTCAGTTACATAAATTTTAGCTAGGCAGCGTAGCAGGCACTTGAAAGTAGTGGATGTAAGAAAGAAGGGGGCGCGCGAAGGAGACACGCGTGACTTTGTCCCACGCCCCGTACTTTCTCGCATATTAGAGAGCTTAAGCAACAACGACAGCGACGCCAACGAGAACGGCAAAAAAGCAATAGGTTTAGATTGGCAAAACAACGACTCTACACGTGCGTTACACGTTTTTGTAAATTTCCTTGCCGTCATTGCACGAGTACAAAGTAATTTGTGGAGGACATGAACACCAGACAACTTCCTTTTTCTTTCCCTGAACTTCGATACAGTCTTTTAGACTACAACTCCTGTAAAAATTGTCAATATTTGACGAATTGAACGAGGTGGAATAAGCGCGGTAAAGTTTGAAGCAGCGCGACCTCACTTGTTAAGTGACGTTTTCGTAACCGTCTACGTCGCTGTTCCTTAAGCTTCCTATTAGGGACCTTAACATCCGAGGACGGCAACGGCAGAGAAAACGTCGCTGAAAAGTGAATTCGCGTTCTTTCAATTTTCATCGCGATTACTCCAAGTCACTAACTTTGTGTAATGTAAGCGAACCCTCCTAAAGATGAATTCCTAAGAACCGTATCGAAGTTCAGAAAGAGGAAGGAAATTTTGTCTTCGCTTGTGTACTTCCTCTGTACAACGTGAAATTAGGCATTTTCACGTCGTAGTCGTGCAGTGAGGGCAAAAAAATGTACAAAAAAACGTGATGCACGCGCAAAATTGTCGTTTTGGTTATTAAACCTATTGCTCTTGTGACGTTCTCGTTGCCGTCGCCTTCGTCGGATCATAAGGGACGGACCACTAGAAAAGTTATGGGGGATTTTTGAGCCGCAGGAATTTTTTTTCGTTATCAAATTCCTTGTATGAATTTACTTTAGGCCATAGCATGAATATGTTTTAGGATTAATTGGCGTGCAAGAATTTTTTTTTTCATTTAATTTTCCCTAGCGCGAATATTTTTTTTGTACTTCGCC